CCTAAAATGAAATATATGTCTTTTCTCTTTTTTTTCTTTTTTAATTGACCTTTTACCTTTATGTTATTATTTCGAAATATATGTCATTTTTTCTTTTTTTCTTTTTTAATTGACCTTTTACCCTTATCTTATTATTTCGAAATATATGTCTTTTTTCTTTTTTTTCTTTTTTAATTGACCTTTTACCTTTATCTTATTATTTCGAAATATATGTCTTTTTTCGCTTTTTTGATTGACCTTTTACCTTTATCTTATTATTTCTAATTAATTTTCACATATAAATTTACAAAAATTTTCTCATAAAATTTTATCATATAATTACAAAAACTAACATTAAATGAGGAAATATTGATTGAGCTATTTGATGTGAAACAAACATTCATTCGACTTGCTGGACTTAAAATTTCATCAACTTTAGCATAAATTAAATCATTGATTTCCGGATCATTGCTTGTAACATCTTTATAATCCATAAAAGGTTCTTTGGATGAGCAATGATTTGATTCAAAATACTGCAAAAAAAAAATAAATAAATAAAAAGAAAAGACAGGAATTTTGTAATTTAAATTAAGATTTAAGTAATGGATTTTGTTTTCATTTAGATTTATCAATTTGAACTATGATCCTATGGTCATTTTATCAGCTTAAACTATAAACTTGTAATCTTGAGATTCTAATAATCCTAAAATAAATTTGAGTAGTGGATTAATTGGATTAATTATTTGAGTTTACCATCTTGAACTATGATTTTGTGATCATCTTATCAGCTTGAACTATGGATCTTACAATGTTGAGATTTTGATAATCCTAAAATAGATTTAAGTAATGAACTAGTTATGATTTGAGTTTATCAGTTTGAACTATGATCTTACCACCTTGATTTGTGATCAGTTTATCAGCTTGAACTATGATTTTGTTATCTTTATATTATGATCTGTTTGTCAGCCTGAACTACGATTTTGTTATCTTGATATTATGACTGATAAACTATAAGTTGATAAACTATCAGCTTGAGCTATAGTCTTGTGATTGCCTTATCAGTTTGAACTATGATCTGATGTTGTGATCAGTTTATCAGCTTGAACTATGATCGTGCTATTTTAATGTTGTGATCAATTTATCAGCTTAAACTATGATTTTGTTTCTTGGTATTGCAATCAGTTTATCAGCTTCAACTATAATCTTGTTCTCTTGAATGTCTCAATGATCCTAGAATAAATAATTGGATAAAAATGTTTCATGAAGATTGAATTTTACCATCTAATCCATATATTACAAAAAATGCTAAATCAAATATTCATACCTTATTTGGTGTTACACCAACTTGATTGAGATAATCAGTAACTGAACTCGTAACTGATATATCATCCGGATCAATGCCTGAATCAGGCATTGAATATGTTACCGGATGATTAATTGTCATTTGTGTTTCCATTGATCTGAAAACAAATCGTATTTAATAGCAGCAACAAATAGAAATCTTCAAATAATTAAACGAAATTAATTACTACTAGCTAATTTGATATCCGGAAAATTATACTTTAAACAAAATCAAAAGTAAATTATATTAAATAATAATCATAAAATTTAAATTTATAATAAATTAAATACTCGTTAGGAATTTAATTTTTTCCAACTTTTTTTTTTTTTTTCATCAAATATGTAAACTTACGAGTTAAAGAGAAATTTCGTCGAGCTATTATTAGCATGCGTAGAAGATGTGGAAGAAGAATTCTGCAAAAAAAAAGAAAAAAAGGTCAAAGGTGATTTTTTGTATAGAAGAGAAAAAGTGATTATCCAGAAAATAATACCTTAAATTTGGTGTAACATGGAGCAATTTGTGTTTCACGTTTAAAACGTGGCGATGGACAATTTAAATCTCTCACTATTGCACAATTATTTTTACTAACACTATAAATCTGTAAAAAAAATTTTTTTAAAAAAAATGAGAGAAATAAATTAATTTATTTTAAAAGTTGAATTTTAAAAATTTTGAGAAAATATTTCAAATGAAATTTTAAAAAAAAGTTAAAGATGAGGTTAATCAACTCGCGCTATTTCACTAAGTCTCAAGTTAAATTATTCACAAACTGATTCCGATTATACCTGATCATTTCTCAAAGAGCACTACTACAGTAAGACAGTAAGATTGTGGTTAACTTTTATGGGGAAATTTTTTTTTTCTGGAATCTATTTCCGGAATACTTCATTGGATTATCTAATTTTAAATTATTCGTCTAGATTGAAAAATTGAAAGAGTATCGGAAAGAGTATGTTTACCTGTTTTTTGGTTTTCTGCGATTTCTTACCCTCATATGAATAATCAATGCAAAAAGAGTGACCAATAGAATAAAAAGCAACGATAACGAGCCAATGGTCAAAATTTGGGTTACCGTTAAAGTTTTTGTTGTTGAAAGTACATCTAATGCGGGAAAATCACCAATCTATAAATATATAATAATCAATCTCATTTTTTTTTCACTGTTAAATTTCAAAATTTCAAAACATTGAATATTGATTATTTTGAAAAAGTGAAAGAGTACAGAGTAAAGAACTGATCTATGAAAGGACAAAAAGTTGATCTATAAAAGAGTAAAGAGTAAGAACTTGATCCATGAAAGAGCAAAGAGTAAAAAGTTGATCTATGAAAGAGCAAAGAATGAAGAGTTGTTCTAGTAGAAAGTAGAAAGTTGATCTAGTAAAGAGTAAAAAGTTGATCTATATGGTGACCGGAAGAATTTTCATCAAATATTTTCGGATTATTTAGTAAAATTACGGATAAAATTATAGGTGTAACAAACCTGAACGATCACTTTGATACGAGAACTTTGCTTTGCACTAGAACTAGCAATTACTACAAATTCATCGTTTGTAATATTGGTGATTGTCCTGAAATTTATTGCAAGTCTTATTTCATTCATTAATTCATGATGAAACTTCTTCTCCGGCCAAGTATTATGGGAAAAATTCTTTGTGCCCAAGCCAAGAGGTCATTAAATGAAGCCTATGGGGTTGGAAAATTTACATTGTGAGAAAAATCTTCTGTGCTTAAGCCAAGAGGTTGTTGAATGAAGCCTATGGAGTTGAAAAATTGCAGTATGAGTCTTTGTGCGTGGGCTAAGAGGTCATTGAATGAAGCCTATGGAGTTGAAAATTTGCATTATGAGAAAAATCTTTTGTGTCTAAGCCAAGAGGTCATTGAATGAAGCCTATGGAGTTGAAAATTTGCATTATGAGAAAAATCTTCTGTGCCTAAGCCAAGAGATCATTGAATGAAGCCTATGAAGTT